CGGCAAAATTTGGAACGGCCCCGAACATAATACTAGTTATGGATATTAAGGGCTATATTTAGGGGGGGGGGGTAGGAACCAAACCAGCAACCAGCTCGTGGTGGTATACCATTTGAGGGCCAAAAACAGAAATAAAATCCACCTAATCAACAGTAATATTGACAGTAATGGACAGTTCTGACCAACAGTAATATAGACAGTAATGAACAGTCCTGACCAAAACCTTATTTTACAAAATATACAAAATGATTAAAAATATTATACAAATATTATATTTTACTTAAATAGTAAATAAATATAAATAACAAAGAGGTAGTTACGATGACAAGGGCTATACAGGTTGGTATCAACCAAACCCATGATTGCGGGGATGTAACAACCAAACCCTTATATAACTGATTAATAATCTATAAAATTATTCTAATTATTATTATATTATATAATGATTCTCAATGTTTCGGATGATACCTTGATATATGTCCTCCAAGTGATATTTTGCGTGTAAACAATTAAGAACAAATCCCACACCTATTTACTAATAAATAGTCATCTATATTTTTAATACTATTCTAAATTGTTGTGTCTTGATGGACTGTTTATGAAGAGGATGAATTAGATATCGGCCAAAGTACGTATGTACTCTCACTTAAATTCATATTATTTAATATTGAAATAAAAAAAGTTCTTTAAACAGAATTTATAATCGTAAATATCTTTTCCTTTAATAATTAAAGGTTAGTGCAATATATTTTTAGCCATATTTTCAATATATATTTCAAAATTGGTAATATTTATATCGTTTATATAGATTTGGAAGAATAGTTAATATAAGGAAAATATTTTACATTTTCTTTAGGATGAGTATGTTCACTTTTTGACAAATGCATAACTAAAACATTCTAGAAAGAATAATCAAGGTAAGTTGCTTCCATCTAAAATGGAATAATTAGAATAAGAAAGAAAAAACAATGATCAATTAGAGGAGTTTAGAAAATCAAGAAGCAGAATTGAAGATTTGTAAAAATAAAGAAGAACATTAGAAGAATTGTAAACAAGTTAAGAAATTTTAGATGCTTTATAGTACTTAAATAAAAAAACTGATGCACATGCTGAATCAAAAGGATGATAAAAATCATAGCAATTGTTAATTCTACAGCTACCTCTTTGGCAACTAAACATTTAATTTAATTTTACATTTTTTTTTCTATTCATCCCAAAAGCATGATATTTCATTATAATTTAATTACCTTAAACTTTGACATTAATCTAATGATTTTTCAGAATAACTTTTAAAGGAAATGACGCAGCCATCAAATGATTTATTGACAGTGCATTTTCAACCAAAATATTATCAACAAGTATTGGCAAGAATATATACTCAACTAAGCTGTTGTACAATTTTTAAGAGTGTTGTCATCTTATTCTTGTTTATATATTCTTGTTTCAAATATTTTAATTATAATGAAAATTTTGAACTGTTGCATATTTTATTTGGATAAAAGTTTTCACATTATTCATTAGATGTATAAGATTAATCTGCTTATTCACAATCTTCTTTACAAGTCTAAGTGTTGGAATCCAATGATTTAACCAACTATTACATTCAAGAGAAGCTGAGGGCATAACTAATGAAAAAAAAATTTGTTTTCTTTTTTTTTTTGTAATACTTTTTCATAAAATTCATTATAATAGTACCATCCCAAAAACAAGCCTTCCCATCTGAATTTTATGTACATAGGAAAGAAGAGGAAAAGTTATTAACCTCTAACTGTTTCACAAATGGTTCCATCCAAAAACACTTTTAATAGAAAATTTAACACCCTCAATTATTAAAATAGAACAATCCAATATTAGCAAGTATTATTTAATGACATACATTAACAATTAGTATGATCGTAAGGACCAGTCTTATTAGCTTTTCAATAATCATAACAGCTCAAATCAGACTCTTCCCAAAAACATTTTTTATCATTAATTGTAATTACACATGCAGCTTCATAATAATTATCTAAGCAAGAATTTTACTTTTATGAACATTTATTTGCGAAACTTATACCATTAGTTTAGAAAGGATTTAATTTATAGCAACCTGAATGTTAAATTGGAGGATTTTAAATTTTAGAATGGCAAAGCATTATGATTTATGCAAGAATCATTACACCAATAACATTTTGTCAAAACTTTTTATGCTGAAATGATTTAAGATTGGTATTTTACTGAACACCTAACTTAGTTAGTAGAATCACTACAAAGTTTTGATTTACATGTAGTCGTCCATTTGCAACTTTATCCATCACTAGTATAGCTAAATTACATAAAATTTAATCAGTTATCTTTGAACAAGATAAAAATGCTCATGCTTAACCAAAATAGTAATTCAATCTACAAAGCTAAGGTGAGATTATTACTTTCACAATTTATATTATTTCCACAATTGCCAGTTTACCATTTTCATTATGAATACTATAAACATTAATAAATTTGTTTAATTTAATTGCATCATGACCTTAAAAGTTAATACACTCACTCTTTGATAAAATACAATCATAACTTCAATCAAAACAATCTTAACTATCTCAAGTTGGTGGATTTAAATGTTCACACTTTCTGTTTTCACATTTGTTTGTTGATGAATCAAATCAGCATAACTATTAACTTGACAAATTTGCAGATCTTATTTAAACATCCAAAACTTCCATTTCGATTAATTTTTAATTAAAATTCATAGTTTCTTCTCCATTATTAACATTTGCTATCAGCAGTAGCAGTAGTCTTATCAATATATTAAACAGATTTACATAATTTGTTTGTTCCCATTAACAAGGTTGTTGAAAAACTGTAATTACACATTATTACTCTTTCAAAGAAGAACAAGTTTAATAATTATTTTCAACACACGATCTGGTAATATTTCCTAATGTGCATATCGATAAGAAATATGAACAATCTTGATACGATATAAATCCCCATATATTCTATTCTAACAATCTGGAATGGAATTATTATCAAAATCCGATTTTTAACAATATTATTTAAGATCTTCGCCAGTAATGGTTGATTTGCAACTACTTATTCTTGTATAATGAGAGCAATATTCTAACTTTTTGATGCATCTATTACATTGAGGATTCCAAGCATAACATTTTTGATGGCTATCATACATGATGGTGTTTGGAGATTAAAAACACTCCAAATTTGATGATCTTTTCTAACATCCTCCTATAGTTAATAGTTGAATTATAAATGCAATCATTCATCCATTATTACACTCTATGTTATTTGTATATTCTTCACTGGCATCTGAGCATTTCTTTTGCTTATGAAAGAATTATAAATTTTATTTATTTATAATCCTCACTTTTCATATCATTACAACTAGTAGGCCAATTTTGGCATCCTTATCCTCTGATATCAATTATGCATTGTTAACCAAAGATTTTTAAATTTGCCCAATCCTCAAAGGTTTTATATAAATTAATATCAGCACTTGAACAATTATCATATTAACACTTTTAGTTGTATATTGAAGCATTTTTATATAAAATGAGGCATGTCTGCTGTAATAAAATTAACAATCTATATTTTTTTTAAAACATCCTAAAAAAGCTTTTGTTAAAGCAAACTAAAATAACTAAACAGTGCACTCTGGCATCCATTCTTCACATTCTTAATGGGTTTTATAAGTAGTAGGAGCAGTTTTACTTTATTTCAAAGATGCAACCTTAATTTAATGAACATGTATTGATTTAAGAATCAATTTTGCAACACTCTAAAAGTATATGTGCATTTTGTACTAGCACCTTGGCAAGTACACTAATTATAATTGTTAAACAAATTAAAAGCCGTATAACATGTCTTATTTTGGCATTCTCCTTAATAATACTAACAGTTATTTCCTTAAGTATCAGTAATACATCCTGCTTCTGTCTTGACATTTTTACAAGCTTTTCTAATGATACAATGAATGCCATTAGTTGTACATTCATTTCATTATGATTTACATTAATGATCTGTGTTAAAAGGAAAATTATCACATCACTTCTTTTATTCATTTAACCAAAAACATATTTGCCTATTATTTAATGTTGAATAACATTAACTCTCCTTTAAATATTCACTACATGATTCCATTTTACGAACACAACCTTAATTTAATAGTTTATACAGTTTCTTATTTTGATTTATCTTTGACCATCAGTTACACCTGACAAGGAAGCAACTTCACAAGCATCCTTATTGTACATCTCACAGCCCCCTAAATCAATACATTTACCTAAGTGGAACCCACAATGTTAAAACCTTCTACAATCTTCATGTTTATAACTTTGGCATAATTTAGAATCCTTTTGGGATGTTAAATACTTCAACCCTGTTTTTATTACACATTTTTCATCATCCCTAATACAGATATTCGATTTTTAGCATATTTCGAGAGTTTAAATATGACCATAAACGCATATCCTTGAAGGTTCGACACACAATATTGTTGAAAGGAAAGTATCAAGAAAAAAATTTTAAATGCATAGCATCTCAATTAAATGATTTTTGTAATTAAAATTATTAAGGAAGATTTTTGAAAACCTAATATAGTCTTTATTAATGATTTAGCAATTTATATTCACAATTATTGAAATCAAATTTTAAACTTCATTTATATAGAAACCTTCAGACTGATGAATCATAAGATGATACTATTACATATATGAGAAAAATAATAATACTTATTGCAATAGAAAAAATCTGTTAAACCTAATTAAGGAATACTCAGTACCAGAAAGTGGAGTGTTTGGGAAAGAATAATCTCAGGGTGAAGAGAAAAATTAAGATGGTAAACTTAAAATTATGCCAAAAAGTTAGCATCTTAAGCAAAATTAATCTAGTTTTATTTTTATGAGTTTATGAGAGTATCACTTGATTAATTGAAGTATTAGATCTCATAAATACTTTAAATCGAAGTAGATAGTTTACAGAGTAAAAAATTTAAGACTGGAGCTATCCAATGATAGAAAATAATTTTATAACAATTAATAGGTTTTCAATACCAATAGTGATGGTAAACTTTAGATGAGGAAACTAAAAATTTTAAGTAAATTAAAAATAACTTTTTAAATGGAATTATTATGGCTCCAAATAACAAGGAGTGCTTTAGTAAAAGAATAGCAATAGCCATACTTAAATTGATTGAAGAATAGAATTTATGAGCAATTTTACTTTTATTATTGGTTTTCATCAAAACTTTTTGTAATTTGAATATGAATTACTATTTAATTTATATTTTATATGTTATATTCATTTGGAAATTTCAAATAATTTTTAATAATTAACATAATGTTCTGTTAAATATAATATTGCTTTTAATAAATTAATTACTATGAAGCTTCAATTACAATATAAAGTAGCTTTGCTATACTTCTACCATTATGAATATACATAACCTTAATATAAAATATTAATATTATAGCATGATTATAATATGCACCAACATCTTTTAAGTAAATTTTGATTGCACTTGTATAATCTTATTAATAATAAAAATAGAGATTTCATACAATATGAATATTATAATCACAGATGACCTTAAATCAATTACAATTATAATTCATCATCAATATAAAATAGTTCTAATTTATCCAACTAAAGTATGTAATCTTTCCAATATATGAATTATAATTTAGTTGTCAATCTCTATAACCTATTGGACTCCAATTAGTTGAATATTTTAATTTAGATTTATTAACCCCGGAAGAGTTTTAAGTAATTAATCAAGAAAAAAGGTCAATATTAATAAAAGCTATTGTTTGAAAATTTTTGTTTTATAATGTTATTTATTATTAATTAATGATATCAATTTATAATATTATTTCCTTTGTACAACTATGTAAATGTATTACCCCTTATCTAAATAATAATAAATAAAATAGAAAGAATGTAAATATGATTCTTTTTTAAATTAATAAAAGTAATTATAATGAAATAATTATTTAAAATAAAATTAATCATTTTTCGAATAACTAAAATATAGAGTATTGTTGTTACTCTTATACCCAACATACCAAATATTTAGCGTTATCTGTCATCGTACCATAAATTTAATCACTTCCACAATTTAATGATGATATAATAGAAAATATCCCATCTTTTTATTTTCTAATTATATAAATTTGATATTTGTGTCTAACTAAAATCATATTCTTATAAAGATTATACACTATAGGAAAGAATGGATCATCCTCACATTAATCATTTTATAATAATTAAATTTTTCTCTTATAATTCTGTATAAAAACTCCATCTACTTATTCAAAAACCAAAATTTAATCAATATTTTTATCTCTAGTTACCCAAAGAAATTGATAATCATTCAAGAAAAGCACTTTCAATCCATTTGGTGCGGGTTTTTTATATTTAAAACACCATTTTAGTGTTTGTNATTATTGGTTTTCATCAAAACTTTTTGTAATTTGAATATGAATTACTATTTAATTTATATTTTATATGTTATATTCATTTGGAAATTTCAAATAATTTTTAATAATTAACATAATGTTCTGTTAAATATAATATTGCTTTTAATAAATTAATTACTATGAAGCTTCAATTACAATATAAAGTAGCTTTGCTATACTTCTACCATTATGAATATACATAACCTTAATATAAAATATTAATATTATAGCATGATTATAATATGCACCAACATCTTTTAAGTAAATTTTGATTGCACTTGTATAATCTTATTAATAATAAAAATAGAGATTTCATACAATATGAATATTATAATCACAGATGACCTTAAATCAATTACAATTATAATTCATCATCAATATAAAATAGTTCTAATTTATCCAACTAAAGTATGTAATCTTTCCAATATATGAATTATAATTTAGTTGTCAATCTCTATAACCTATTGGACTCCAATTAGTTGAATATTTTAATTTAGATTTATTAACCCCGGAAGAGTTTTAAGTAATTAATCAAGAAAAAAGGTCAATATTAATAAAAGCTATTGTTTGAAAATTTTTGTTTTATAATGTTATTTATTATTAATTAATGATATCAATTTATAATATTATTTCCTTTGTACAACTATGTAAATGTATTACCCCTTATCTAAATAATAATAAATAAAATAGAAAGAATGTAAATATGATTCTTTTTTAAATTAATAAAAGTAATTATAATGAAATAATTATTTAAAATAAAATTAATCATTTTTCGAATAACTAAAATATAGAGTATTGTTGTTACTCTTATACCCAACATACCAAATATTTAGCGTTATCTGTCATCGTACCATAAATTTAATCACTTCCACAATTTAATGATGATATAATAGAAAATATCCCATCTTTTTATTTTCTAATTATATAAATTTGATATTTGTGTCTAACTAAAATCATATTCTTATAAAGATTATACACTATAGGAAAGAATGGATCATCCTCACATTAATCATTTTATAATAATTAAATTTTTCTCTTATAATTCTGTATAAAAACTCCATCTACTTATTCAAAAACCAAAATTTAATCAATATTTTTATCTCTAGTTACCCAAAGAAATTGATAATCATTCAAGAAAAGCACTTTCAATCCATTTGGTGCGGGTTTTTTATATTTAAAACACCATTTTAGTGTTTGTCCTTTTTCCCAAATGGTAAATTCTTCAAAATTACATTAAACCATCATGGTTTCGGATTGATTTAAACTTAATTGATAAGAAAGACTACTTTGTTTATTTAAGGAATAAAGATATGTTAGCTTATTGTTAATAAAGTCAACATTCCAAATTTTAATAGAACTATCATGTTCTCCTGAAATAAGTTCATTTTCTTGTTAATTTAAGAGAAGACAATAAACATCACTCGTATGTGAATAAATTGGGAATGACCATTTCCAATCATTTTGATTAATCTATTTCCAACAGATAATTGTTTAATCAAGAGAACCAGAAATAAAGCTATTAAATTTTTTACTATAAACTAAACATTTAACATCATTTTTATGCACCTAAAAGGTGTTTTATAATTTTAATCTTCCTTAAGTGAAATTCCATATTTTTATATCTCTATTATCTGTTGAAACCATAATAGAACCTGTTTTATTGAATACAATTGCCCAACATTATCTAACTTGGCTTCCCAAATGCTCTATAAACTTAAATTCAACTTGTTATTAATCACTAAATTTTATTGAGTCATTTTAGAACACGAATTATTTATTTGTTGAATTGTAAGGTATTTCGAATTATTTAATACTTAAACTTGTTTTAATTTCTTACTATTAATTTTCAGTTCGAATATCTTTTAATAATTGGGTGCATATTTCACTTTCTTTAAAAGTGCTAAAAAAGCTCAATCCATTAAGAATTTTTTGATTCCATGAATAATTTATACTTAATATTTACTTGATCAAAGAATTTATATCAATATCATTAGTTATAGTTTTATCGATCAATTTTTCTAATTCTCCAAAAAAGCTATAAATCATGTTTTGTTAACCAGTCAAATATAAATCGTTTATCCATTCTGATGAATTTATAATTAATTTGTCTAGATTTTAAATTACATTAGACCTTAATTGAATCAAAACATTATGAAGGCGATGGAGCCTTTTGACATTCTTCATTATCTCACTTTCTACAAAATCTTTCCTTCTCTCTTGATTTTGCTCAATTTCTTAAAGAACCTTTTTAAACATCATCATATTAAAATTCACATCAGTATTTTCCATACATTCCCTACATAAAAGTCTTTGTTTAGAATCAAAATTTTTATCACTTATAACCATTAAAATAGGAAGATTATGGTTCTATGAGCAGCAAAGATCCTAATCTTTTTCTATCATCTTAGACTTCATTTCAAATAATATAAATTATACTATTTAATAATCGTTTTATTTATTACAACTATATTTTTTTATTCTATTTAACAATTATTTTTCTGATAAGTAAAATAGTAAAAAAAAATAAATACTTCAAACCTTTTGAGTGTTAGATAATGATATAAAATGAACATCACAATATTTGTTCGAAACAACAAAGTTAACAACTCGTAGAAGTTATGTATTTATTTATATTTAAATGAACCACCTAGTAAATTGATTTCTTGCGGTAAAAATCATTTAGTAATATTTATCCAGAAAGAAAATGAAAAATGGAAATCTTCATTAAACAATATTAGTTGAATACGTATTGAGAGTTTGAAATATCAATGAATATCAATTTACTTTCCAACCACGGAATCATAATAAAGTGCATATTTATCAATTTAAGATAAGAATAATATTAAAACTTAAGAAATATTTATTAATAATGAAATAAATGTGATTGTTTATTTCCTTAAGAATTCATAAAATAAAAATAAATACTTGTAATTAAAAATGGATCAAATGTGCCTTTTATAACAGTCAATCTAATCTGAGTTTATTTAAGAACATTCTAATGAGTTTAATACATATTTTATTGATAAAACCTTAAGTGGCGACGGAAAATATTTTTTATCTTGGGATAGAAAATAAGTTAATGGATTTATCTTTGTTTTATTTTATATTTAATACTTATCATATATTTAATTCTTGAAGAATAGATTATTATTTTAAGAAAAAAAGTTAGGTATCGTTAATAAGATTATGATGTGCAAAAAGAATGCTATTTTTATAATCAAACATGTTTTTCAAACTGTTTTAAATACATTCAAAAAATTTTTTTTAACAAGATTAAAATCTTTTTCATCTAAAGATTTGAAAATAAATTTTAATTTTAGCCCAATCAACATCATGATTATCAAATTTTTCAATTTGTGACTTAATTTCACAACACTTAAAAATAGCTTATAATTTAGATCTAATAAGAGACTTAAGATCAAGCATCCCATTGAATAGCTCTAAATCTTATTAAATGAGATTTGTACACAATTGGATAGGTTAGAGAATTAAATTTACATTTATAATTTGAAGATTATTGTGAAAAATATCCTATTACAAATAAAGCATAATAAATATTATAAAGAAGTATATTTTAATTGATATAAATACAAATAAAAAGTAATTAAAATTTCTAACAGAAAAAAAAAATTTTTTATAAAATATAATTTTAAATTAAATTTAGAAGGAAATTATAATGAGGATTTTAGAAGGATTTTGCAGCTATCTTAAACATAAAATAATCAATAATTTATAGAGATTAAGTAATCTGTCTTATATTCTTTCAGAAAAACTATTAACTCATATTTAAATATATTTAATTAGAATTTAGTAAGATAACGAAATTAAAAAGTAAGATATGGATTGTACTATGATTTTAGAGTGTTACACAAATTAATTTAAATTATTTAAAAAGGTGGATATTTCCAAAATTTAAAGAGTTTGAATTTTTGTTTAACTAGGTTAAAACTTAAAATATGAACAAAAATTACATATATGGATGCTAATTATAAACTAAAGAAATTAAAAATAAATCAAATAAATTTCAAAATATTTAACAGATTAATTTGTAAAGTCTTCATTTTGATTAAAAATAAAAATTATTATAATTTATTTTTATGGGAGCATGTTAAGCTTGTAAAAACGTCGAAATAGAGAAAATGTATAATCCAGAATAAAAAATCACTTTAGTGACAGATTATTGTAATAAAATTCTTTAAAACATTGATGATATTAATATATCAAGTTAAAATAGGTTGTTTCTGAGTTTGAAAATATTTAATTTTTTTTTCAGAGATCAAGAAAAAAAATTTCCTGAACCTGTTTTTATGATGAAATGGGAACTAGATTATGCCTTAAGAACAGCAACAAAATTAATTGATAACACAGAAGAGTGGATAAATTTTATATAAGGCCAAGATTATATAGATGTCCTTAAAATGTTAAAGTGTGATGACTATAAAGATAAATAAGATCAAAAAATAGATTCCTAATGGGAGTTTATCAAAATTGATTTAAATTCCCTTGTAGAAACTAATTTGGATTATCCTGGAAAAAAATATTTTATTTAAATTTACAAATATCTTGTGCAATAAATAAAAGATCTAAAATGACAATTATTATTATCAAATAATTAATATTATAGAGATAATATATTTTATATAATAAGCAATCAAGTCTTGCATATCTATTACAATCTCATTTGAAAGCTTATTTTTTTCTTTAAATTGAAATATTTGTGTTGAATATTAGTTATGTATTTTTTCAATTTTTTTTCTCAATTAAATTAGTTTATTTTCAATTGAAAGATTATTATGCAATATTTTGATTATTGATTAATATGAATTTTTTACATACTTTATTGGAATTTATATTGAAACATTATTAATTTTTTTATAATAAGCATATTCATATTATTTAATGAGAATCATCAATAAATCAATGAATTAATAGTATTTATTCAACTATTATAATAGAAGTTTGTAAAAAAAGACCCATTCTATATTTATTAAATAATAAACAAATTTAGTAAAACCTGAAAATTTATGGAGATTTCATCCCTTGTAAATAACTCTAAATTTAGAATGATGGACTGATATTAATTTTTAAGAATGAAATATTTAAAATATAATAATTATATTGTAAATTAGTAGATTAGCATAAATTCAGAGAATCAAATGAAAATAGTTATTTTTTTATATTAAATTTTCAAATGTAACAGTTTTTATTTACAATCCTTGGCTACCAGATAAAAGAGTTTTTAATATTAAATTTCGCTATATTCACAGAATAATAAGAAGTGTTTTATATAATGAAAATCTGTTATTATTGTTAATATATTATCAAACATTAAAAATTTATTAAGCGATTTTGTAAATCCCCAAACTTTGAACTTAAAAATCTTTCTATTTTTTATAAATATTCTTTTATTTCATATTTAAATTCAATTTCCCTTTATTATTTAAAATACTTTTATTCTAAATAAACTAAATTAAATTTATTTTATTTTATACAATGACTATAAATTAAAAATATAGAAAAGCTATTAAAATATGGGTAAGTATTTAATTATCTTCTGAATATGTTTTTTATAATAAAAAATTAATTAGTAATTATTTAGAACGAAGTAAAAAATTATAGTTAATTTAATTTGCTGAATTGAATTTTCTTTTTGGATTTATTAATAATCATTTATTTTAACAGCCTAAAAAATAATGGAAATATTCATTACTAATAATTTTTGGTTACTTTTTAAAAATCTTTTATATTTTAATAAAATATCGAGTAAAATACTTTAATAATTTAATTTAAATTGAACTTCAACATTAAAATATAATTGTTTATCCATCAGTGATTCTATTTTAAAATTTATTCTTAATTAATATTAAAAAAGCAATTATTTCAAAAATACTTGTTTTTTAGTTCTAAAGATTAAAATAATCTTAAAAAGGAAATTTTTATTTTTTTTTGAATTTCAAAACCTAATTCTAATAGATTAAAAATTAGATGTTAGATGATTCAGATTTAATAAGAAATTAAATTGAAAGTGAATAAAATTTTTATAAAAATAATGACCATGAATTTTCAAAAATTTATAACGAATTAAAATTACATTTCCAATTTAAATTCTAATTACAAATAATTATAATAAATAAATGTATTAATAATTCTGAATAACTTTGTTATTTTAATGAGAAGCTTTTAATATTAAGTATATGCAAAATACGCTTTATTTTAAAGTTTACTTAAATAAGATAAAAACTCTGTATTAAAATATAAAATAGTTTAATTAATTAATTTTTTAGTTGAAATCTCGAACGATGGGTATATATGCTTAATTTTACCTAAATTAATTAGTCTCTTAGCAAATTTTGACAGCAACTTAATAATAATACACAAATCAGTTATACCATATATTAATTAAAATATTCTTACGATAAAAATCATGGAAATTTATTAAAATTTATTTATGAATTTACCAATACTTTTTCTTTTCCTCTCTTAATTAATTGAAAGTATGACCTTTGAGATTATTGATTTAAAACAATAATACTAAATTTATAAGGAAGAGATTGATTTTAGTAACAGCTAATTTGAAATTGACACACTTTTAATGTATGGTATATGGTCAAAGTATAACCCATTAAGTCCAATAGCAAAGGTTGGACCTGTTGGATAATTGGATAGTAATTGTTATTTAATTCATTATGCTATATCTATATAGAATGAAAAACTTAATCTAATTTACTATGATTGCTTATATTATATAAATAGAACAATATTAAAGTCTGTTGAATTTGTTGATGAAGATAACAACTAAAAAAAGTTTGAAATTCCAATTAACAGTAAGGAATATGAAAATTTCTGGCATTTATGTCAAATAATTATAATGCCACATAAAAAGAAATTTGAATTGATAATAATTAATTAAGAAAAAACTTTACTTCATTAAATTTTGGATATGAAATTACCTTTTAAAGACTAAAATATATAGTTAATATTTGGGAGCAGCTTGATTGTTAATAACACAAATATAAACTCAAAAAAGACAGGTTAAAAATTTGCCATGTTTCCAGGTTTTTTAAAAGTTAACAGAATTTAAATTTTACAAAGTTTTGATGAATTAAATTTAGAAACCAGGATGCAAGAAATTTTACAAAGTATTATAGAATGCTGGTGTATTTAAGACAATACTTATTAATTAAAGGATTGGGATTTATAGTTTTTTAGTTAATAGACTCATATATCTGAGTATACAAACTGTGATTCATTTTAATTTCATGGTTGGTTAAGGATTAATAATATCGGGTATATAGCTTAAGAGACAATTTATCAAGTAATTAAAATTTCATCAAATTATAATAGCATAATTTTAGCAAATGAAAACTTATCTCCTTTTTAATTTATTTATAAACTGTCTTCTTCAATGCATAGTATCATTATAACAACTTATAGTTATACTTTTCCAATTGTAAATATTGATTTTTCTGAAAATCCATTTTTATTAATTGATGAGTTTGATGTTTTTAATAAAGTTTAATTATGGCATAAATTAAATGTTAATCTTTTAAAAAATTAATTTTAAATAAGTATTACTTTTTATGATGGAAGTGATATCTTTGTGAAAAATATTGAAAGAGATGTTTAATAATTTAATTAGAACAAATTTAAAGTAAGTTATGGGAATTTATTAAATTAAAATAATAACATAGTTAATATTTAAGCTAGAAATTTTATATTTTCTAACTGTTAATATCCAATTGATAAATTAAATTGTCATTAAAGTTGTTAGGAATGTGATGGTCCAACTTAATTCAATTGTCTTTCATGTTCCAAAAATTCAAAAAGAATATATTAAATAGATTAAAAGATATGTATTTGTCCATCTGAATTAGTTGATACAGGTGAAGAATGCAAATCTTATTCAGATTTAGGGTTATAATTAATTCATGATGAAACAATAAACAATTAAAATATTTGTCCTTTTGGATATTTCGTTATAGATTAAGAATGCTATTAATGGTAATAATCATTATTTAATTTAGTCCTTCTATTATTAATTCTCAAAGAATTACATGTTTAAATTGTATTCTGAACCCAAAAACCTGGTTTTAAAAATTATTTTGTAATTAAGATTTATCAATTAATAAAATCGGGGAAACAGCTTCTTATTATGATTATGGTGAGATTTTCTATTTTTTTGATGGATCCAAGATAAACATTTGCCCCTTGGGTAGTTGTGAAATCAAAAGCGTAAATGATTTAATATTAGAAACATCAAATAAGGTTTCTTTTAAACTTATTTAGAATGAAAATTAAAATTTTATTTCTTCTTATTAATATACAGAAAAATGCTATAATAGTATATTTGAAGTATTTGGTTTAAGTTGTAAAGAATGTCCTGTTGAATTTATATTGAGTGATGGAAAATGTTAAGATGTATCTTGCGATCTTCCTTATTATATGTCCATAAATGGAAGATGTAAAAAATGTTCTATTAAAAATTGCAAATATTGCTTTGAGTATTAAAGAAATGATTTAACAAAATGCACATTATATCATGATTTTTAAGCTTTTAACACTGATGAAATTGTAGATATTGGTTGTGCTTTATGTAATGATGATTTTATATTTGATTTTTCTTTAGGTTCTTGTATTTAAAGAAAGTAGATTATATAAAATTGTCTAAGATCATTTATTAATTTATAAAACGAAGACATTTGCACATTATCCTCAAATCATGATTTCTCAATTGCACCTGAAATCACTAATTGCTAAGAATTCATTGAAAATTGTTTGTAGTGCATTTAAACTCCAGATTATACACTCAAATGTATAGTTTGTGATATTGGATATGCTTCAACACTTGAAAATGGAATCTGTATGTAAATTAATTTACCAAATTAAAATTTTAAAATCATAACATAAAATTAAGATATCTATTATAATGGCTATATTTAATTAATTTAGAGTTTTATGATGTCATTTTTACCAAATTAATATTTATATCCATATAATGGGAATTAATATTTTGATATTTAAGTACTTTAATGCTATGATGGCTGGGTAATATAGCCTAATTCCTATTTTTGTATTCAAGATTGTAGCTCTGATTGTCTTTAATGTGAAAACAATAATTAACAATCCAATTGTAGAGTTTGTTCATTAGATTAATTTCTATAACCTGTAATAAACTAATAATTGGGTCAATGTTATTAATGTCCAAGATTGTGTAAAATTTGTAAATTAAGTGTTGAAGAAATTGAAGTAAAAATTTTATATTTTATTAGAATTATAATTCCACTTTAATCTTAAATGAAAATTTACTCTATTAAAGATAATGTATTATGGCTTAATAAATTATGAACGTTTAATTAAATATTGAACTATAAATAGCAAAATATTGTTTTGATGAAACTTGTAATTAAATTTTTTTATTTGAAACCATTATCGAAGAATGCTTTTTCTTTAATTTATTTAATGTAGCTAAATTTAATTAGTTTCAAATTGATTATTATAATTAAATGGGATAGGATTAATTAATACTATAATATATATTTAATTTCACAAATAATTGTATTGGATTTCGTGGTTTAGCTTTTATGAATGATTTAAAATAATAGATTTATTCTCTTAAGTTTGTAAAACTGAATGCTATAGCTATTAATTCTCCATATTTGCATTCACTTGGTGCTTTAACAATAATTAATTTTGATTCGATACATCTATAAAATTTCAATTTAAAATTATATTAATCTTATATAGATATTTAAAATAATAACAAGACAGTTGAATTGTCATTAACAAATATTATTATTGAAGATAATTAATTTACTGATTTGAAGACATTATTTTATGGAATATTATTTTTAAAAATAAATTTCTAAAATGTTTCATTTATTAATACCAACATATTAAATTCATCCATATTAAATTTTGAAATTATGAAACTTAATGGTTCTATCCATATATATTAACTTTAATTTATTAATTGTATTATAAGGAATTCTAATGTATTTTAGTTTCTTGATGATAACTTTTAAATCTAAATTGATAATTTAATCATCTAAGAATGTGAATTTTATAACTCCACTATTTTTTAATTTGATTCTAACTAAAATGTTAAAAGCAAATTTATATTTAATAATTTAATTGTAAAACACAGTAAACTTTATAACTCAACTTTTTATTATAATTCCTTTTCATTCAACTTGGTAATGAGCAATTTAATTATTGAATAAAATACCCTTGACTAATCAATTATATTTTCATCTAATCAAGAAATACATTTTTCATCTGCATTGATTCAGAATAATACTTTTTTAAATTCATGTCTTTTATAATCTTATCCATTTTAAGATACATAATTTAACATCAAAGATCTCATTATATAAAACAATATTTTATAAAATTCTACAATTATTAAAATTAAGTCAAATTAATAGTTAATTAAAATTTCACTGATACTGATTGATTTTGACTTAAACAAAAATTATTAATATAGTTCTTTCAATTAAGAATCAGCTTTATTTGAAATAACCTGCTTTAATTTAATAATTAAAAATTTTAAGATTAAAAATATTAATAACTTTAGAATATTTTATATTTAAGATACAAATTAAATTGAAGTCGACAATTTAATCTATAAAAATAATAATATTCAAAAAAGAATTCCTATTTTTATTGAATGTTAAGAATAAATTTATGAAAATAGTTAATTATTATTAATCATAGATTCTCATTAAATAAGGATGAAAAATTTATTAATATAATCGCAATCTACAATAGATTTACCATTGGTATAAATTATCTCAAAATATCATATAATTAATTCATAGAATTCAATCATCTATATTTCTAATATGGAATTCTTTGGAAATGTTTAACTTTAACAAAAAGAATCATCTTTTTAATCTCTCTTAATTATTTCCTCAGAATAATAAATTGAAATAGTTTTAGATAATCTTCTTTTTTTTGAAAATATGTTTCATTCATAAACTTAAGATACTCAATATGCTGCTTGTTTATTATATATCTTTTCAAAAATAGGAAATGTAGAAATTAAGAAATTAACATCAAAAAATAATGCAATAACTAATTCTTCAAATACTTTTATTTTGATTAATTCCAATTCCTTAATAATTTCAAACATGTTTGTTGAAAATCATAATTTTTTAAATGTTCTTATTTGGCAAAAATATTATTAATTAAATATAACTTTTAATTACAATTAGGATGAAATTAATTAAATTATTATGTAAACAATATAGATTTAAAACAGTGGAGGAGTTGCAAAATTTGAAACAAACAATTTTAGTTGTATTAATAGCACATTTTAAAAAATTATTGCTTTAAGAAGTCTTATTTTTGATATAACTTTACAAGGAAGTGGATTTTTTGCTTTATATGAAATAGAAATAATAAATGTATAAAATAATTTAAATTAATCAAGTGAAAGCTCTGGATGCATTACTATTAAATCATAAAATTCATAAATAAATATAGATATTTAGAAAATTAAATTTTAAAATGTTTATAGTAGAAGTTCTTCAGCTATTTTTACAATTACTCCCTCCATTTTTAGCAGTAAAATTACTATTAAAAATATTGTCATTGAAAATTGTTTTTCTTTAATGAATTCTGTAATGAATTTAAAATTTTACTCTTAAGAAAAAAATAAAAATTAAGTTAGATTGGAGGGGCTTAAAATCATTCAATAAAAATCAAATTTAATGAATTATTTATCTACAATAATTCCATTAACTATTGAGGAAATAGCAGAAATGAATAGTGATGAAAATAGTCTTATTATTATCAGTGAATGCTTTGTTGAAATAAAAGATATAGTTGTTTTAGGAGTTTATTTATATCCAATTATAAAATTTAAGAACGTTCCTTATTTAGTATTATAAAATTGTTTTTTCTAAGAAATTTAAACAGTTTTTACTTTAAATATAATATCTTTTACTCAATCCAGAAATTAAAAATCCATTTTTATTTTAAAATAAGTAACTATTTAAAAAATATCAGATTTTAAATTAGATATAGAGAACTTTAATTAACATATAATAATTTAATATTTTATTAGGGATTGTGAGAGTATATAAAAATAAGAAATTTAAGATTCATATAAACAATTAATTACGCTTTTTTTGTAACAAATAGAATATTATTCATCAAATAGTGTTACATCTTTAATTTATTTTAAGAGCACTTCTAATTAAAATAAATTTATATTGTAATCTATCAAAATAGCTTTGAATGAATGCTTAAAATGTGAAAAAGGATTATTATAATTTGATTTATAGAATTTTAATCAAATAATAATAAAGGATATAATTTGTTAGGAAAATAACATTAAAAATTATGGATGTCTAAATTTTTAATAAGAATAGCTTAATCAAAATAAAATTTTAATTTAAAATTCTAATTTTATAAACAATAAAGGAGGTTAAGGAGTAGCAATCTTTACAAAAAATACAACGATAAAAATTTAATAATGTAAAATAATTTTAAATTAAGCGTTAAAATAAGGAGGTGGATTATTTTTTGAATAAAGTTCTTTTACAATAAAATAAACAACAATTTTAAAAAATTTTGCAAGAGAAGGTGGTGGTATATTTCTAAGTGGAAATTCTAATTTAAATGATAGAAATTTTATTTAATCTTTTCTACTTTTAAATTAAGCAGAGAAGTTATCCAATAATGTTTTTGAAACACCTTCTCACTTAAGTTTGAAAATAAATTCATATGAATTATAATCAAATATTTTACATGATTCATAAGATTAATAAAGAATTTTAAAACTATAACCATTTTATACTATTGAATAGGGGAAAAAATGCTTAAAATAATATCTTATGATTCCAAGTAATCAAAAAATTTCTGAATTTAAATTAGTTCTTCCGAAAGTTAGAGAAGTATTTTCTTATATTAAAGAATTCAATTTATAATTTAAAAACAGTAGAAATGAATTTCTTTTAGGATTAATTAATTCTACTTGTATTATTAGTAGTTAAGTTACATCATTAATTTCCAATAAAGTATTATATTCTTTTGAAAATACTACTATATCATATAGTATTGAAAATAATTATTTTGATTTAAATTAAGTCAATTTTATTTTTGATCCATATTAATCTAATGAAAACTACTTAAAAATATAATTTACATGCTTAACTTAAGAATCGAACACATAATTAAAATATCTCGTTTATGCAAAAAGTTTTATGTGTTAATTAGGAGAATTCTATGCAAATTAAAGTTGTTAAGAATGCTAATCTAGCTAAGGATATTATTCAGTAACATATAATGCAACTAAATGCTCTATTTTTGATAAGACTAAATTTTCCAAAATTACTTCAAATAGTATAAGTCTATTGGAAGGATATTGGAGACCTGATATTTTATCAGATTAATCAGAAAAGTGCTATAAAAATCTCAAGGTTTGTATAGGAGGATTTAGTGTTGGAAATGAACTTTGTGCTTAAGGACATGTTGGAGGATTATGTGAAGAATGTGACTATTATGATTTAAGCGGAAATGGTTTATTTTACAAGAATTTTCAAAATTTTGAATGTTTCCCCTGTAATCAACTAGTCGATAGTATATTTCCCCTCATAATAACAACTTTTTGGTATATAAATTTTTTAAACATAGTGCAATTTTATCGATAATTTTAACTTTAAGGAGTATTGATAAATCCAATAATTTATTTTCCGCTTTAAACTTGACTAAAAAACATAGTAAAATTATTTTTAAATTAAATTAAGGTAATATATTTTATAATTATATAATAGATCTTACAAGTATCTTAATAAAAATGTTTTTAAATTATTTATGGGTCTTTTCTATGATATTCACTTTTAATCTTAAATTTTCATTTTCATTTAATATTGTTGATTAAGTTAGCAATACATCATATTCTATTGCGAATGATTTAGATTGCTCTTTAACTACAATTTAATAAGTTTAATTAGTTTATTCAAGAATAATTGCCATGATTATTCTGATTTTAATGTAATTATTTCTGGTTCTCATTGGTTATAAGATTTTTTCAATAATTATTCATTAAAAGTTTAATTATAGCATTATAACAAATACTTCACTTTATCTATATGTTTATAATTTTGGTGGATTAATAAAAATGTAAAATATATCTCTTTAATTTAGGTTATGTTCAGTAATATCTATAAGAAAAATTTCAAATATTGAATATATATCTGGTGATGTTACATTGTTGTTTGGCTCGGAAAATCATCAAAAATGGATGTATTATTTTATAATTCCTTTGTTATTGATTTTTGGTTTTACTATTCCATTCTCTTTGTTTATTTTATTATACACCTAAAAGAATAAACTTCAAACAACAAAATTTAGAAAGCATATCTGTTATTTATTTAATGAGTATGATAATGATACTTATTATTGGGAATTAATTAAATTAATACTTAAGTTTTTTATAATACTCATAACAATATATTTTGAAGAAAAAATCTTTATGAAAGCATCATTAATAGGTTTATGTTTACTTATTTATTAAATATTAGCGATTAAATATAAGCCATATATATTTGGAAATCTAAACTAACTAGATTTGCTAGCTGGTTAAATTTGTTCAATAGCTCTTTTTATTGCAATTATTAAATATGTAGGTGATTCTGAAGATTAAACTTTTTCTTCATATATTCCATAGATAATTATTACTTTGCTTTTGATTCGTCTTAGCTATTTATTTGTTATCAAAATTATTTATTCTTACAAAAAAAAATACAAAACTGTATTAATTAAAATTTTATATGTGATCTGTAAGTTTATAAATGAAAACTCCATTCTAACAGAATATTTTAACAGGAAGCTATAGAATGAAAAATAGAAAGAAATTAAATTGATTACAAACATGAAAAAAATTAGATAGTGTTTAATTATGAAGCAAAGAGCTTAATAGATGTATTATTATATTTTAAGTTAAGGTGGACTTCATCCTTCCAAAGCCCTCAATAATCTTTATTTAGAAGTGATTTTATAAAGGCATGATGATTACTAACATAATATTGATATAACATAATTATTCATTATAATTCATAATTCTTGAATATAAAAATATTATTTTTAAAATTTGTTTAAATTTAATTATTGATTAGTTATTGTTAATAAGGTAATTTAATCATTACTGTAAAAAGTTAGAAAAAACTAATTTTTCATATATATTTCTATTCAAATTGTTCTTTTTATTTTTTGTATTTTTTATCATAATTGGAATAATTTATAAAATGTTCAGAGGATTTAGCAACAAACTTTAAAAAAACTAAAACGAATATAGTTCTGGCAGGACTATAAAATAATTAATATCTGAAAAGTATTAAAAAGAATTCAAAAACACAATTATTCTATATTAGAATATAAATTCTATAATTATTAAGGGACATATATATACAAATTATGTTGTTTAGCATAACTAAAATTCATTAATTCTTAATAAAAAAGTAACTGTGATCAGAGGGCCCATCAAATTCACTCATAATGTTGCTTGTAATTTTTTGGAAAGAAAGAATCTGATCAGTTCTAATTGAAAGTGTTCTTAGTTACAAAAATCTTTGAAATGTTTTAAGATTTTCATGTATTATAGGAAATAAACCCTTTAGAAGATTTGATGGAAAGTAATAGATAATTTATTAATTGTTTTTGACTGATTACCTAAACAATCAGGTTAATGGACTCTGTATTTTCAAAAAAATATTCTTCAGACGGAAGTAAAATTAAAAATTAATAACTTAAAATCTTTACTACAAGTAGTTAGAAAGAAAGTCAAAAAAGTGATATTATTTTATTATAGAATTTTGCTACAATTGATAAATGTGAATTTGTTATGTGTAACTATTGCTATACCTCCAAAATCAGAATTTGATTAATTAAATTAGGTAAAGGTCTGCCATTTTATTTATTGGTATTTTATTCATTTAATCAAAAATTAGGAATTTCTAAAGATTGGCTTAGTCTTTCATTTAGCTATAAAAAATAATCATAATCAATTTTATCAAATTATCAAATGTAAAACAAAAAGCAAATGCATTTTTTTTACGTTTTTTTAAATGCCTGCAAAAAATTTAATTGGCAACAACTGTTGAAATTAAAATAAAAACAAGCAAGATATTTTTGTAATGCTCTTTAGAATCCAAGAAAAAATTAAAATTATAAATCAAAAGATGTATCATATATTCGAACTACAAGAACTCATTTTTAATTAAATTATTTCATTTTATATTTATTTTTGTCTGTATTTAAAAGTTAAAAAATACATGTGGATATTTTCTAATTAATAAAAGTTATGAAATTTTTACAGAATTTCATAAAATTAAATACTTCAATAACTATCTTGTTAATAAGGTGAGGGTTTTAAGTGTATTCTTTATTGTTTATTGAAAAAAAATCATAAAAGAAATAGATTACAAAATTCCTAGAAAATAATGAATTCTTTTTATAAAAATATGCTACAAACGTAATTCGAAAATTAAGAATATAATATTCCTAAGTTGAACTATCAAATAGAAAATTAAAAACAATATTTACTTTACTATCAAATAAATAAAAAAATCCTTAAAATTATTTTTTTTTAAATCTAATAATCCAGTACTTCAAATACCAAACTAAAAGATGGGGAGAATATTCTTTAACTAAGATTCCTATCTAGATTAAAGGATTATTTAATCAAAATTAACTCAGATGGAAGGTTAAAACAACATAAATTCAAAGTGAAACTAACTATGAATCTATTATTAAAAAATTATCATGGTTTTCTCGTTAATTTACATGGAAATTAAAGCTTGAATTTGCCAATTCTTGTAGCCCATTATAATCTACATTTTCCAATATATTTACATAAAACAATCAACAAGATTGACATCTAGCAAAAATATTATATGAATTATCAACTTTGAATATAGTAACCGAATAATATAACAAATTATGTAAATTGATGATATTTCATATTTTTTGATTTAGAATTTGAATGTTGTTTGTACTTACTTTTGAATAGAAGATTTGCTTCATATATTTAAAAATTGAAAATTATTGCTACTTAGATAGAATTAAATTGCTCATCAAGATTTTTCAAATACAAGCGATATCATTGTCTGATATCAACATTATATGTTTCTACTCCAAAGTCTTTAATGATATTGAATCTACACAAGTGTCATATTCCGAAATTCCAGATTTTAACAATTTTTCAATTACTTCAATTTTTGGTAGATTTATTTAAAATACAAAAATATTTTCTTTTCAATGTTTAAAAATTAATAACTAATTTAATTAACATCTATTTAGTTAGAGTTTTTTTTTGAAATATGAAAATAATGTATTGATGTAAGGTAAATCTAAATCGTTGCAGATCCAATGTTGTTCTGTAATTAATTTGGATACAAGGACTCCTCTAATTGTTATTCTATAACTTTTTGAATCCAAAATAGCCCACAATAGACTAAGCTAAAAAACCTAATCGATTCAAAGTATATAAAAATCTTAAAATCTTAGAGTAATTTATAGGAATAATCAAGATTATTCACCGATTCTTTCAATAAAAAATAAAATAAATTGGTATAAATTTGAATTCATGTCAAAATAATAGAAATTTAATAAGATGATTGAAATATCCCATCTATTATAGACAAGAAATCATAGTTCTGGAAAATATACTCGGAATAGTTTCATCATAATATCAAATTAATAATTATAAAATTTTCAATTTTATTTCATTTTAATTCAATATAGAATTATTATAACTATAGTTAAAAAATGATTTCATTTTTATATCCTTCTTTATTAGATTCTTAATTGTAATAATCATAATTAGTAAAATATGAAAAATAGATCTAATTTATACAATTATCTACTTTTCTTTTTTATTTAGTGAGATGGTGTAATTAAATTTATTTAAGTACTAAAATTTATAATTAAGTAGAAAGGAAATTCCGAAAAATAGTAAATTCAACCAAAAAAAAAACCAGAAATAAATCCAAATCCTTAACCTAAATTAATCCTCAATAACTAAAAAATTGCATTAAGCCTAAAAATAACAAAATTAGATCTATAAACTAAAACTTCTCTAAATTTAGTTATTTTTTATTTATTAAAATAATATTATTCATTCTGTACTATTCAACTATTATCATATTTCTTTTCACCTCTTTTCTCATTTTTCCTTATATCCATTTCCACCCATATACCAATCTTCATACCCTTCATATTATACTCGCCATTATAAGTTAATTCTTTATACTTCCACTCAAACTTTTCATCCAGCTCTACCCACTTCCCTATTTTTTTCTAACTTTCCTCTTAATCATATGTGCCACCACCACTAAGGTATTATTAAGATTGATATTTTACATTTTTTTCCCTTCAAATAAAATATCCCATCTACCTACCTTCATACCTTTATTATATTCACCAATATGAGTGACTTATTTCTGATACCAAAATCCTTCATCGAGCTCAACCCACTTCCCAATTTTTTTCTAACTTTCATCTTAATCATATGATCCGCCACCACTAATATTTATTATTATATTTATTTACATTTATTTATGCTCGTGCTTTCCATACTCACAATAATAAATATCCCATCTCCCAACTTTCCTGCCATTCATACTGTATTCACCCTTATTAGTGGCTTAAGCATTCCAATAAAAATTCTCCCATAATTCTACCCACCTACCAATTTTTTTCTAACCCCCATCTTAATCATATGATCCACCACCACTAACCTAATATACCTATGATATACATTTATTCTCCCATGAATACACTATTCCATCTACCTATTTTAATGCCCTTTATATTATATTCGCCATTATAAGTGACTTACTTTGAACTACCATAAGGATTATGATGAAATCCTTCATCTAACTCAACCCATTTCCCAATCTTATTCTGACTCTCCTCTTAATCATATAATCCACCTCCACTAATATTTTATTAGTAAACTGTTATTACATTTATTATCCTTCAAATAAAATATCCCATCTACCTACTTTCACACCCTTCATATTGTATTCACCATTATATGTTACTTAAGCATTTTCATAAAATCCCTCCCATAACTCTACCCATCTTCCTATTTTTTTTTCACCCTCCTCTAATCCATAAGATCCACCACCACTAACAAATTTAAATATGTTTATATAAATTTACATTTATTTAAATCCTTCCTTTTCTCTTTAGCAATACATTATATCCCATCTACCTACTTTCACACCCTTCATATTGTATTCACCATTATATGTGATTTAAGCCTTTTCATAAAATCCCTCCCATAATTCTACCCATCTTCCTATTTTTTTTTCACCCTCCTCTTATTCATATGATCCACCACCACTAACAAATTTAGATATGTTTTATAAATTTACATTTATTTATATCCTTCCTTTTCTCTTTAGCAATACATAATATCCCATCTACCTACTTTCATGCCCTTCATATTGTATTCCCCATTATATGTGATTTAAGCATTTTTCCAAAAACCCTCCAAAATTTCAATCCATTTACCTTGTTTAACTCCTTTCTAATCATATTATCCTCCACCACTAGCGTTAATTATAATTTTGAATACATATCTTTATCTTCATAGACATACTTCCAAATTCCTTTCCTTTAATTATCTTCATATTCACCTATTTCATATACTTTGGCTTTACTAAAACTTTAATTTCATATAAATACTCATAATAATTCTTGATTGTTTCTTTCCATTTACCTTTTTTTTTGCCTTCTTGAGAGTACTAACCACCTAATTCTTTTATCTACTCACCTTTCCAATTCGCTGTCCATAAACCAGTTTTCTAAAAATTTTTTCCTAATTCACCCACCCATCTAAGATATTTTACTTCTTCCAAATTTTTAATAATTTATAATTTAATATTTAAATCTTATTGTTTGAATCTTTATATTATATTATATAATATTACTTTGAAATGATTTCACCATTATAAATATAATAAAGTTCTTTTTATTTAGTATATTGAATATGAAATTTGGTTTTGGTTAATTATTCCCCTTGCTCCTTAAAACCTTCATATTCTTCTATTTTTTCTTTCAATTATGTAGTGCTTGAAAGAAATTTGTCAATTTCTCTATTTATCCAAGAATTGATTTCCTCTAATTTAGCAAAATAAGAGCTTCTAAATGATTCTAATTATATAATAAGTTGGTCATCAATCTTATCTTAGATTCTTTTTAAAGATTTTTTCTAATCCCCAAATACTTATTCTAGCTTCATATCAATTTAGAGGAGTAAAGATTAACATTGTGTTGAAGCTTCGGATGCTTAGCTATACATTTTATTTTAATTATTCTTTTTTCTATTATTTTTATTTAGTAAAAAATGATGATCAAAAAGTTTCTTGGCTGTTTTTGTATGTGTGAAATCATCTATTTATATTTGATTAAAGCTACAGAAATGATAGATTTGCAAGGATTTTGTAAATGACTAAAATAACTTATATAAGCATTCATATAGAACAAATCCTCTTATACAATAAAGATTTAATTCTTAATTACTAGTAAAATTATAAATACTTTTATTGGTCTTATATGTGAATTCTATAAAGTAAAAAATATAAAATCTCTATTTTCATTCTATATAAAATTAGTTAAAAGCTACTTTAATATTGATGTTAATTATTATCAAAAAAATACTTTTTTAATAGTTATTTTTTAAACTAATCTTTAATCAATAGTCTTAGATTAATTCTATTGAAAAAGTCCTTGTTGCAAATGCAATTTCTTAATTAGAATTAGCATCTAAAGCACTATAATAAAACCATAATCAATGATTAAATTAAAAAAATTTTAAATATATTTCAGTGAAAAAATTATGAAATTTATTACAAAATGAAAATTTTAATAATTTGACAGCTGTATTTAACTATAATAATTCTTTATATAATCCCACTACCAATTTATTAAAAATTATTCTATTGCTATCTTTTTCAAAATAATAATATGGAAATATAATCAAATGTATTTCTTTTATTTACTTTAATGTTTTTTTTAGTTTTTCTTCTAAATCATTTAACTTCCTATACTTTATATTTATAAATAATTTTCTACCAATCTTTTAAATATCAACATCAATTTTATTATATTCAAGAGACATATATAAATTAAATTTTAAATTTTCATTAAATAAAATTTTCTTTTTCATATTTAATTAAATCCCATCATAAGTAATAGTGGTAAATATCATAAATTAATATATCTCTATTGGATCCAATATTATTATTATAAAGGTATACTCCTTCATACTTGGATAAATAATTATTTATTTATTAATTTTTTGTATTAAATATTAATTTGATTTTTTCTTTAAATTTATTTCAGAATCATTAGAACTTCAATTAAAAAGTATTTCAATATTGAAATCAGTTTGTTCATTGTTTTAAAGAAATAATTCCTTGTAAATCTAAATGATATTTCTCTCAAAGATCCATAAGCTGTTTTATATTCAATTTCCTTGAAAAAAATTTATTTTTATTATTTCTTTTTTATACAATCTATAGTATGTGAATAGTTTATTAGTATTAAAATTACTAATATCACTTAAAAAGGTTCGAAAGCCTTAGTATATTATCAATTGTAAATTAAAAATGGCAGGCATTTTCTGTTATGAACTTAGTGCAAAAATTAAAATGTAAGACTTATTTAATGATATAAATTCTTGGACATTAACACTATTGTATTAATTTGATTTATTCTCATTTAAGAGCTATTTTTATGGTTGTTTTACTAGCATCTGATCCTGAATTTATAGGATAATTTATACTACAAATAAATAATAAAAAAATAAAAATGAACCAAATACGTGGTAAAAAATCAGAAAGTTACTCAATTCTTCAGCTTCATTCTTTCCTGTTTGTAGTTTTTTCAAATGGCAAAGTCCTGATTCAATCTGAATGCCTTTATATGAATTTAGAAAATTTTTATCATTCATATCATTTAATATATTAATCTTTCAGAAGTAAAAAATGAGATTAATTTTTTGATTTTCAATAGTTTTAATATAATTGAATCAATAAAGATTTAAACCATTCTTAATAAAAAATAATAATAATTAATATTCTTATTAATCATTACATATATTTTCTGATCTAAATTTATTCAGATTTTAAATCCCAAGTTACTAGATATTATCCATCATTACTTAAGGTTCCCCAAAATTAACTAGTTTCGAAATTAATCGAAAAGTCAGAACTAAATTTGTTCTATTAATATCTATGGATAACATTTATATAATTCCCATTTTTATTCAATAAAAATTATTTAGATTATAAAAACTTCTAAGGGAATCCAAAGTAACAAGTTTAACCTCCTTAAACATCAACTTCTTGAGCCTTTCTGAATGATTAATCTACTTCATTTATTTAAGCTATACAAATTACTTATTTCTATTCATATTAGAACGCAAATGTGCAATTATCTATAAAGCATATTCTCCTTGCAAATTAATCAATTTATAATTATTATTTAACTATCCAGGTTTCATTTTTTTATTTTTCACTTATTAATATAACTTTTTGATTATATGCAGAAGATATTAATTGATTTTATTTATAATTTAAGCTTAAACTCAACACTTTTCCTCTATGAGCATTTAAAGTAAAAAAACAACTCGATTAATTTTTTTTCCAAAATTTAATAGATTTATCATCTCCTCCAGATATAATTAAGTCTTCATCAATATTTGTTATTAAGCAATAAATAAAACTAGTATGACCCTCTAATATTTGCTAAACTTTCCATTCATTATTATTCATTGACCAAATTATAATAATCTTATCTACACCACTAGAAATAAATTAATTTGATTCTTTCATAAAAACTAAGCAATAAACCTCACTTTTATGTTCTTTAAGCTACTATCTTAATTACAGTTTTTCTTAATTAAAATTATACACATTAATTTTTCCACTCAAAAATCCTGTTATCAAAACAGTTCCATCTTTATTAAAATCCATAGCAAAACAATGTTCCTCTTTTATTGAACTATCTTTTAATATCTCATATCTAAATTATTTTTAAAGTTCGATATTTTAATAATCAACTTCATTTAATTGCAAGTCCTAAATTAATTGATCTAATTTCTAATTATATACCTCGGTATTGTTTTTTAATTAATTGAGCAAGGTCTGTTCATAATCTTAAAACGAAATGAATGAGGTGATAGCTTTGCTAATTTATTCACCTTTGAGTTGAGTCAATTTAGATGAAGAAATATTGTATTTGTATTAGATTCCTTCTATTAATTTTTCTATATTAGTTTACAATTATTTAAAGAATTAATTAATCTGGATTAGAAGATTATTACAATCATTTTGTATTGTCTCGAAATAATTTATAATTTCTGAGATTTTTCGAATGTCTTTCATATGCTCTGAGTGTTTATTTGTTTATAAGCATTAGAAGCAACTTAAGCGATTTTCTTTGCAAAATGGATTAAGACAAAAGAATTCAGCTAGATTATGATGAGCTGAATCAGAGCATGCTATAGAAATCATTTAATGATATTAATATTAAAAAGAAAAATCTAGAAATTAAATTAAAGTACTCTACTCATATGCAATAAAAAAATTCTATATATTTTTTTGTAAACATGGATAACTAGAAGGGAATTATATTTAATTTTAAAGATTAAATTTGCAATATATAGTTTAAAATCAAACAATAACCCTTATTCTCTCATTAGTTAAAAACGAAATATTATATTGGAGTTTTATATAATGAAATTTTGAGGATATGTCAAATTCAAAATAAAGATTGCTAAAAAGTTTAATTGGAACTTATTCATAATAAACAGAGTTAAAATTATATCCATAATAATTTTCAAAAAAACTGGATAATTGATCTAGCTTTAATTAAATGAGTCATCTATTTAAATTAAGAACCAGAAATTTTACAAACATAAATATATTTACCATAGTGTATTATATTAATTTTGTTTAAGTTGACTATTTGTTTATCATAATTAAATAAAATATTTTTTTCTGATAAAATTCTACTCCTACTTTACAATAATTTTGGTTTATTTATCTTGATCCATTAAACAAACAATTGATTTAAGATTTAATATTTAATATTTTAATTTAATAAATTGTATAAATTTAGAACAAAAAACTTTCATATTTATATAAAAATTTTCTTTGAATAAGGAAAATTTAGAAGTTTTTTATTTAAGCAAGCTTTTTTTTATAATATTAAGAATTAGAATCAATTTTAATGTTTAATAGCTTATATTGTATATTTTTTCTGGTATAATTTATTTCAAGCCGTTTTCGAAAGTTATTAATTCATTTTTAAATAGGTATTTAACTTTTATTAGATTGTTCTTTTGTGCATCAATCGATTCTTATGAGTTATTTTTTAATTAAAAAACTTTTGAGCCATAAAGTTTATTAGTTTTGTCTCATTTATCGGCTGTTTAAACTTTCTATTTAATGTAATTGTGGTTTCAAATTATCTGGATGAAATATTTTTTATATTTATATTATAATTTTTGTATTCACTTCAAAATGAAAAGTATGATTTATTTATATTATTTAAATCAAAAATTGATATCAGCCTCCAAAAGTATAATTTTAATTTATTTCCTATTTTAAGATTAACTTAAAATTATTTTAGAATATTTTTTTGTTATTTTTTCATAAATTTAGTTTTTATACTTTCACATCTATTAATTGAAGTTTAAATTACATTCTTGAGCTTTTTCTTTTTCTTTTCCTTTTCCTTTAATAATTTAATTTTCATATTTGTCTGATTTCTTAGAACAAATAAGATTTTTCTATTTATAAATGATGAAAATAATACAATTATTTTTCAATTCACTGATTTACAATCTTTTTTAAAAGTAAATGCAACAAGTAGTATATAAATTGCTTGTGGATAATTCAAATTCAATTTTGTTTAAACAACAATTAAATTTATAAATCTCTACTTTGATATATTTCAAAAGTGGAATAATATTATGATCAATAACATTAAAATATTGCATTTGATAAAAGATTTAAATTGTTGAAAAATAAAAATATTTGGAAAATTGATATAATAAAATAATTAATAGAATACAAAATATTTTTAAGTGGAAAATACAAATCATTGAGATTAAATGAAGAGTGATTTTTAAACCTCTATTACAAAAGACTTGTCTCAATATAAATCATTAAAAATATTACTTTTGACGAATCCCCATTTCAAGAGCGGTTGTCTTTAAAAGAACTTTGTTTCTGACCCAGTATAAAAACGTTAATTATAATTAGTGAAGAAGGAATAAGATTTGTTATTTATATTATTAATATAATAGATCATTATATCATTTATTACTATCATTTAAATTTAATTGATCCGCTGATATTTCTTTTTCAAGATTCTCAACTTTCTATGAAGGGAAAAATAAAGGAGAACTATTTATATTGCTTGGTAATTGTTATTCCCTCTTTAATTTGTTTTTCAGATAGTTAGAATAAACTTTACTTATTAATTCATACATATCTACTAATAGGCATGTCCCTAATATTATTGTAAACATAGAAATATGAATCCAACCGCATTTTAAGAGTTAATCTTCAGTTAAATCAAAACTATAAATTAAAAATGTACTCACAGTCAAGAAGAAAAGAAATTCTTTATTTAATAATTTGATAGATTCACTCTTTTATTTTAATGGCTGTTCTCTACACAAATAAATCAAATAAGTTAAAGATTGAATTGAGAGAAAAATTGATTAAATTTAAGGTTCATTCATCAAAAAAACAATTACAAATATATAAGAGGTTACACGATATATTTAGAATGTTTTAAAATTAGCAGCCCAAAATTGAGACTTTGATTATTCAAAAAAAAACTTCCATTTTGTTTTATTTTTTATTTTTTAGGATGTAATGGAAAGTGATTTAAAACTAACAAACATTATCAATCCCAAAGCAAATAAAGAGTTTATTGAATTAATTACTTCAAAAAATGATTGAAAACTATAGTTTGGAAATTAAATAAATATACTAAATAGGAGTTAATGAAGTATTGTTAAATAAACTTAAAAAATATCTTTAGTAAAGTATTCATGTTTCAATTTTAAGCATTTCTATTGAATTTTTTTTTAGAATAAACGCATCAATCGTAACAATCTGATGTTTTCTTGATTAGATAAAATAATTTATTTAAGGAAATTATCTGTATATTTTGATGTTATCAATTAATAAATTAAATAGGTACAATATGAAATTAAGACTGAAATATAACAGCCTTTTGCATTGACAAGAAATAATTAATTAAACTATTGAGAATTGTTATTTTATGAAGTTGTGTTATCTGAATATGGGAATTCTCCTCCATTTAAATAAGCTAATAATTAATCAATTTATAAGTAATCTAAAATTAATTTTAATGAAATCTTTGAATATAATTCAAGAAATTATTAAAAATGAGGAGGAAATTGATATTACACATATATAATGTAAGAGAATGATTACAGTAATTCTAATTAATTTAAGAGCATAATTGGATTGCCTAATAAAATTGATATTACTGAGATGCATATCATAATATAAATAATTGCATCATTCATCCAAATGATCTAAGATACCTTTTTTTTAGTGGATTATGATAGAACAATAGGATTTCCAACTTAAATGCTTGATTGATGTTTCGACAGTGTAATATTATAAGAGTTAGTAATAGTAAAATATTTGAATGTTATAGTAAATTTTGGGTCGGTTACACTTTATTAAAATTGAATACTAAATTGATAATGAGATCTTTATAATTCAGTAGATAGAATTATAATTGGAATAATGGTTAAATTATATGGAATATCTGGTTAAATTGTAAAATTAGCTATATCTTCTATTCTTTAAGTTTGATTCAATTTAACTTCCTGCAAAAAAGTGAGTTCTATGATTTGATTTGAATTAGAGCTCTAAGTATTTGTTAGTAATTTTAACTTAAAATCAGGCGGTTTAATAAATGAGCATTCGTATCCTTTACACTGAAAAGAAAACTCATTCTTACAAATATTTGAACATCCATCTCCTCCAATTATATTTCCATCATCGCACTCTTCATTAAAATAATATTCTAGTTTCCCGTTTCCACAATTATATTTGGATTCTAAAACATCACTTTGATTTGTTTGAGTATCTTCATCTTAAATATCATTAATATTAATGATTTGAACATTATTTTGGTTTGGGAATTCTTGATCATCTATATATTCATTATCTAAATCTTCTTCATTATAATAAGAATAGCATTATTGAGTTTTGTTATTGAGCGTAAAAAACTCTTCTTCTTAACATTTTAAGCAAACATTATTTTTTTAGCAGTCCAAACATCCTTATGTACATGAGTATTTACAATTATAACATCCATCAAATTAAATATCATTTCCATCATCACACTCTTCAAATCCATTAATAATTATGCCATCACCACATACACTGATACAATTATTATTTATTAATTCAAAACCATCTAGACAAATTTTACATTATTATTAATTGTCACATAGTTTGCAAAATAAATTACATTTATATAGCTTACAATTACGACAATTCAAGTCTTATAGATCATCGCATTCTTCAATAGACAGAATAGCTAATTAACCATCTCCACAAATTTAATAACATTTTCCTTCTCTTAAGTTCCATCCTTTTATACATTATAAACAAGTAGTATTATGACAAAGAAGACATTCAATTTAGCAATTATTTTAACATTTATAGCATCCATCAAATTAAATGTCATTTTTATCATCACATATTTTTTCATATTTGATGATTTGATTCCCACATATTGTTTTACATTCATTATTTGATAATTAGAATCCTTCAATACATTAAAGACATTAACCAAATGAACATTTTAAACAATTTAAAGGACATTAAAACCTACAATTAAAACATACCTAAGATATATCATCACATTCTTCATTTATATTTATTATACCATCCCCACATATAGGTATACATTAATTAAATGCAAGTGGAATATAATATCCTTGATTAGGAAGACAATGTGATATAAGTTCCTCATTACTTTCTTAGAACAAATTTTAATTCAAATAACCCTAATTTATATTCAGAATTAAGCAAAGATTATTTACTAATATATATTCTGAATTACATGATTCACAAACCCCATTATTGCATGATTTACAACCATCACCACAAAAATATTTACATTATCGACATTTATTGATTTCAACAATCGGAACGATTTCACAATCCTCATCTTCTGCTTTCAATCCATCTCCACATATAGATTCACAAAGTTTAGTTATAAAATTATAATAAAACCCTTTTTAACATTAAAGACATAACTCTTAGTGCTAATATTAACAATATTAAAATCGTTAATATTCACAACCTAAACAATTTTAATCATTCATTTCACATTATTCATCGCTTGTTAATATTCCATCTCCACACTCAGGTTAACATTGAAAATCTTAATCAACATAATATCCCTAATTACATTTTATACAACTGTTTTAGGAACATTTCATACAATTTTAAAAGCATTAATTACAAAATTCATTTGCTTACAGTAATATATAAATTTAACATTAGTTCATATTGAATGTTGTTTTACATTTTTATTCTGAGATATCAAAATAAGCATAATCCTAACATTTTTAACAAAAATTGTCAACTTTAATTAAGCAATGTTATAAAGTGTTATCAAAAATAGAAGTTATCTAAATACATTATTGAGAATTTATAGAAAGTAAATAATTGTGATTACATATATAACATGTTTTAAAAAAACAATCCTGACAATTTATATCACAAGCAAAATCAGGATTGTAAATTTCACTAAAAAGATATAAGCTTCCAATTAAATTGCATAATTATGAATTATTCTCAATTTCATTTCCTAATGATGGATTACATTAAAGTTAAGTTAATGGATGATTTAATATATAGTTAAAACAAATTCCATTAATACAATCTTAGCATGAATCTTCACAGCTATATTAACAAAAATGGCATCCATCCCCATATATCAAATTACCATCATCACACTATTCATCATCTGTAATTATCTAATCCCCGCAATTAGAATAACATTATTTATCAATCAATGAATAACCTGAATTGCATTTTTGACAACCTATGCCATCTGTACTACACAATTTACATGATGATTAACATCTTGGTTGACAATTTAAGCAGCCTCTGTAGGGTAATATCGAGCTAGTTTCACATTTTTCACTTGATAATTGTTTAGAATCTCCACATTTCTCTTTACACTTTTTCTCAATAGGATCATAATACCAATATTCGTCACATTCCTAACAGTTTCCCTATTTGCATTTTCTACAATTAGAATCACATAAGTCCTGAACCTCCGATTCACATAATTTATTTGTTGATTTAAAATTTCCACTTATACATTCGCACACTCCACTTATCAATTTCATGTTTATACTATCAAAACATTCAAAACAATATGAATTGCTTAAACATTATTTACATTCAGGAGGACAAACCTTACATTCTTCGGATTCTTCATATTAATTTTTAACACAAAAACACCCTAAATTTGTTAATGTATATGTAGGTTTACATGTAGAACAAGAACTTTATGTTTTACATGTTTCACATGAAGAAGTGCAATTCTTGCATAATGATTATTCAAAATCATAATATTAATTAGTTAGACAATTTGTCTAAGAACAATAATTGTAGTTTGCCAAATCAGTCTAATTCCATACTGTACAAATGTTCTCATCTGTACAATTTTAACAGTTAGGTTAACAATAATGAACTGCTAAGTAGAAATTGTATAATCCACAAAAAGCTTTTATTGGTTCATTATCTCCCTAACATTCAAAAGTGATATTTAAGTTGTTTTTAGTATGTTATATTTTTTCAATTATTATATCTGTAAAAGTTCCATCATGGTTTTGTTTATTTGCTTAATTTCTTTTCTTAATAAATGAAACTTAATCTATAGTATATATAAATTAACTTTGTTCTGGAAATTTAGAGCCATATAAAATATAGAATGCTATAGAAATACTGTGATGCGGTCTACTAATTTCAATAAATCTTTCGAATTTAGCTTAAGCCCAAATATAAGAACCTCCAAATATTAGAAATCCATTCCAAAATGAGTAATGTATATTTATTCCTTTCAAGAAATTAGTTCCATTTGAAGATATAAGATTGTATTAAGAGTTGTATTCATAAGTATAGTTTATATTTTCTCTTATCATAAGTTCAGAATCTAAGGTGAAATATTTAAATATTTATACATCTTGTTTCATCATCAAAATCTTTACAGTAAGTTCCATTATTATATTAATACAGATTGTCACATTTTTAGATACAAGTACCATCTCGATATAATAAATAAGGACTTTAACATTTTTTACATTTATAATATACATCACATTCTTCACAATGATCAGTACAATAATGTGATGTTACTTTTATCCCTATTATTGCCCAGCCAACGTTATCATTATTACTAATTTATATTAATACTTACCTCAAATTTCCAATAGCAGTGAATAAAAATGGATAGTGAGGAATATCAAACCAACCTATTATATCACAAAATTAATATCTTTAATACGGTTAGTAAGAAATTTCATGTTTTGTACAATTTATTGAAGTAAAATTATCCAATTGGATATTTGAACTTTAGTTATATATTGACCCATAATAAGTTTCATTAAATTAAAAATTAATACCACAATCAACAGGTAAATCATTAAATATATTTAAGCTTATTTTAATTTATATGTAATGTCCATTTTTAGGTTCAATCTTATTTATAAATCTAGATAAACCTGAATTTTTTTTAAAAATACCATAATTCAATTTATTTAACCAAAACATAGAAGGTTTTTCTTAATTGTCATCATAAATTATCGACCAAAAGATCCATTCATGATAATTTGAAAAATTCGTAGAGTATAATAAAGATGCTAAAATAAATTAATTATTTTACATGAACATAATTGACAAAATTCATTTAAACATTATTGCTTAAATGGATTACATTTTGATTAGCAACCTATGTATTTTACATAATAGTAACCGTCAGGACAAGGAGGACAAATTTGATTTTCAGGATTTCCATAATAACATTTTTAACATTAATTATATCCAGGTCCTGAACACTCTTTACATCTTGGATGACAATTAAGTTAGTAATTTAGAAGATATATATTTCTTAAAGATACTTTTTCATCTCCTTACACATCTATTGAAAATGTGAAATTTAAGGTAGAATTTTTAGTTTTGGTTATATTTATTTATTAAATTTCGTATTCTGCATTTTCACAAAATTCTTAATTTTATAAGGAGTTCCCAGATGGTGTAAACTAAAGATTGTAGCTCTCATTATAAAGTTTAAATATTAATTCTTTATTCGACCAAGTACCTTAAAAATATAAATCAAAGGATATTAAACATTTATAACTACAATAAAATTTACTTTCATAATCACAATTTGAAACTTATTTTGTGACTTTATCTAAAGTTATATAATTTTTTGTTGATGATTCACAATTAATGAAATAAGCTCCATTTTGATAATCGTTCGTCAAATAATCAGTGTCTTTCCAACTATTATTTTTTGGGTTCAGACTTGGTTGTAGAGTATTCTCAGATGCATATTTATGTATAATATACAATTGAGTGTTCATAGTATCCAATAACTTTATCAATAGAAAGAACTTTTTAATCATTATTGATTATTTCTAATAATAATCTAAATTTTTTTATATATTAGTATTTTTCTATTATTTCTAATTCAACAATTATTAAATTTATTTGAAAGTGGAATACGAACAATTAGAAATGTTGAAGGCGTCAAAACAAAAGCGAATAAATTAATTTTTATAAAAAAGAACTTTAGATAAAGATAATTCTTAATATTAGATAAAATTTAGCATTATAATTCTATTATCTATAAATGCGAATTATATTTTTTTATTAATAATTGTTTGCGTAGGTACTTTTTGAATTAAAATATTCATAATATTTAAATTTAAGGATAATATTTGCTAAAGCTATGCCAATTATGAAAATTAATTATTTTCAATATAATTAGGTATTCATTTAAATTAAATTCCTAAAATAAAATAACTTATTTAACTCATTTGCTTTTAGTTCAATTTTTAGACCATCCTTTGTTATTCAATTAAAAATTCACTATATGAATTAAATTATATAAATTTTTTGGAATTGACGTTATAATATATACACAATCTTTATTTAGAAATAAATGTATTGACATGAAAAATTTTGCTGAATTCTATTAATTTTGGAAAATTTAGTAATACAAGAAACTTACTTAATTTAATAAATTTATAATCGAGCAATTAGAAATAAAAATGAAAATTTTCATTATAAATTTCTTCTTGCTATTAAACTAAATAAATAAAATAATAGAATTAAATTTAAGCATTACATATTGTGAAAAACAAACATTTTAAGAGAAAATACAATTTATAAAAAATATTTAAAAAATCATGATATACTGTAATATAAGTTCAGATTGATATTTTAAATTTTAAATTCAAAATTGTCCTACATTATTTTTTTGATTTAGAGTGAACATATATTTATTCATAATTTTGTTTCCAAATATTCCATTTTTCCAAAAACAAAAATCTGCTATTTAAATTCCATTTCTAATTTTATGATTCTAATTTACACAGATGAAGTTTCAAGTACATGAACTATGCAATACTTTCAAGTTTGGGGAATAATCTTACTAAAGGAGGTTTTGTAGAATTAACTTTAAGAATTATCTAACTTTA